TATGTAGATAAATAATGATGAACTGGTTAATCCTTGGGTTTTATACAGATCATTTTTGTTTATGATAAAATTTAAGTGGTGCATGTGTATCATCTGAAGTATGTATATATATGTATTTAGCTTAGGCTTTTCTGTTGTATCTGTCTTTGTAGACTGGCATTAAGTCATTGTAAGTGACTCATGTTGACAGTGCTAATATTTATAGTTCAATCATAATCTGCTGAAAAAATTCAAGTGTAAATACACAAACAATATATTTCGTCAAAAGTATAGTGTTTCCTTGTCTCAGCTTGCTCACTGGATCGATAGACTTCAATGATTTTGTTACCAGAAACCCTTGACTCTCGCCTTTAACTATTCTGCTCACACCCATTTAGCTGTCCTTCCTGAGCCCTTGACATTTTTTTTTACCTGAATCTTTGATCCATTCCTTTTTTAGCCCACCATCTAATAGATGGTTGGTTATTCAAATCACTCTGCATCCGTGGTCCGTGGTCCGTCCGTCCGTCCGTCCGTAAACAATTCTTGTTACCTCTATTTCTGGAAACGTACTAGATGGATCTTTCTCAAATTTCATATGCAGGTTCCCCTTGGTCCCTAGTTGTGCATTGTACCTTTTTTGAACTGATTCGCATTCAAGATGGCCGACAGGTGGCCATCTTGGATTTTGGAAGTAAAAGTTTGTTACCGCTATTTCTGGAAAAGCACTGGATGGATCTTTCTCAAATTTCATATGCAGTTTCCCCTTGGTCCCTAGTTGTGCATTGTACCTTTTTTGGACTGATTCGAATTCAAGATGGCCGTCAGGTGGCCATCTTGGATTTTGGAAGTAAAAGTTTGTTACCGCTATTTCTGAGAAAGTTCTGGATGGATCTTCCTCAAATTTCATATGCAGTTTCCCCTTGGTCCCTAGTTGTGCATTGTACCTTTTTTGGACTGATTCGAATTCAAGATGGCCGACAGGCAGCCATCTTGGATTTTGGAAGTAAAAGTTTGTTACCGCTATTTCTTGGAAAGTACAGGATGGACCTTTCTCAAATTTCATATGCAATTTCCCCTTAGTCCCTAGTTGTGCATTGTACCTTTTTTGGACTGATTCGAATTCAAGATGGCCGACAGGCAGCCATCTTGGATTTTGGATGTAAAAGATTGTTACTGCTATTTCTTGGAAAGTACTGGATAGATCTTTCTCAAATTCCATATGCAGTTTCCCCTTGGTCCCTAGTTGTGCATTGTACCTTTTTTGGACTGATTCAAATTCAAGATGGCCGACAGGCAGCCATCTTGGATTTTGGAAGTAAAAGTTTGTTACCGCTATTTCTTGGAAAGTACAGGATGGATCTTTCTCAAATTTCATATGCAGGTTCCTCTTGGTCCCTCGTTGTGCATGGTACCTTTTTTGGACTGATTCGAATTCAAGATGGCCAACAGGTGGCCACCTTGGATTTTGGATGTAAAAGCTTGTTACTGCTATTTCTTGGAAAGTTCTGGATAGATCTTTCTCAAATTTCATATGCAGTTTCCCCTTGGTCCCTAGTTGTGCATTGTACCTTTTTTGGACTGATTCGAATTCAAGATGGCCGACAGGCAGCCATCTTGGATTTTGGAAGTAAAAGTTTGTTACTGCTATTTCTTGGAAAGTACTGGATGGATCTTTCTCAAATTTCATATGCAGGTTCCCTTTGGTTCCAAGTTGTGCATTATACCTTTTTGGACTGATCCGAAATCAAGATGGCTGACAGGCAGCCATCTTGGATTTTGAGAGTAAAATCTTGTTACTGCTATATCTGAGGAAGTACTGGATGGATCCTTCTGATATTTCATAGATATTGTATTGGTTTCCCTTGGTCCCTAGTTGTGCATTGTACCTTTTTTGGAGTGATTTAAAATCAAGGTGGCCCATAGGCAGCCATCTTGGATGTCGACAGTAATACAGCACAAGCATATTGTCCATTATCCACCTGTAACTGACTGCTATCTAATGATACTTTGGGATCTTTTTCAAATGATATTTGCTAATAGGTGCTTAATAAAAATATCTTGTGCCATCATTGAGTACATTCAATGAAGACCAGTTCATGAACATTTACAACACCTGTAACAAACCAAAAAAAATAAACAAATCTTCAAGAACTGAAAACAGATCCTCAAATGGTGGGCGCCAAGATCCCTCTGGGATCTCTTGTTTTTTCACCTGAACTCTTGACACATTCCTATAGTTTATTTTTTTCACCTGAACTCTTGACACATTCCAATAGTTTATTTTTTTCACCTGAACTCTTGACACATTCCTATAGTTTATTTTTTTCACCTGAACTCTTGACACATTCCTATAGTTTATTTTTTTCACCTGAACTCTTGACACATTCCTATAGTTTATTTTTTTCACCTGAACTCTTGACACATTCCAATAGTTTATTTTTTTCACCTGAACTCTTGACACATTCCTATAGTTTATTTTTTTCACCTGAACTCTTGACACATTCCTATAGTTTATTTTTTTCACCTGAACTCTTGACACATTCCTATAGTTTATTTCTTTTTCTTCTGAACTCTTGACTCATTCCTTTGGATTATTTTTTTTCTCCTGAACTCTCGATTCATTTTATTATTTTTATGCTAAGAGCATTTTCAATGCTCTTCAGCATGTTGCTATCGCCCCTGAGGTTGAGTATCAAGTACTTTTTTTTGTCATAAAACAATTTTGTTAAACACTGTGTCTTTTAATTTTTTACATTTGGACCATTGACTCTGTCCTTTTTTGTTTTTTTCCCCCTGAATCATTGATACTCTTCCTTGATTATTTTTCACCTGGACAATTGACTCTCTCTCCTTCTTTTTGTTTTTTTTTCCCCCTGAATCATTGACCCTCTCTCTCTTTTTTTTACCTGAATCATTAACTTTTAAAAAAAATGTAAATCAGAATTTTTTGAAGTTGTCGTTATTGTCAGCTATATATGGCATAACATTTTGCTATTTTTATACTTTCAAGAAGTTGTCAGGACAGGATAAGTCAATATAAACATGATGCTACATACCAGGAACTTCTTCAGATTGTATTGAAATTACACTTACATGTTAAGAAACATCAAATCTGGCTTGTATTTGTTCATTGATATTCAGAGTTCATAAAATGGGTCTCCATAATTCATCTTTTTGTCCATCATGGCTTTTAGAAGCTCATTTCATATTATGCAAAATCTACTGCATAAGCAAGTATATGTATATATATATATGTAGGCAAATATTTGTATGAAGGGAATATGTTATTATATTTAAGATCCCTTTCATTCATGAAAATTTTTTGAAACTGTACAAGTAAGACTTCTGATATATTATTTGCATGGAAAATGAAACCTTCCAGGTCAAGAATTCCCCATATGACATTGGAAATATAAATAAAAGATTTGGTTTGTGTTTGTCATATGGAAATCAGCAGTAGTTAAATCCTGAATTATTTAAATGAAGTCACCAGACTGAAACGATGCAGAGGAAAATAGTTGTGACACGATCCTGGCATGGTGAAGGTGTTGTGTTTATGATTTTATAGATGAAGCAGATAAATTAGGACATCATTTAGAAATGAATTATGAGGGCTGTTTACAGAATAATTAAGGTTTTGAATATTTTTCTCTAAATTACACAAGATATCCTTTTGGCAAATGCTGTTTATTGGAAAATACTAAGAGTATATAGCCTTTCTGATCCATCTTTAGATCTTAAAAGACAGAAAAATTCAATACTTTAGAATCTCAGAATTATTACAGCATATTAGGGATGTAACACATTTACATCATACATGTAAATCAATGCCCCGTATTATACGTTGGCAGGTAACACTTTTACCTAGGCACATGTAATATACATGGCTTAATATATATTGCAAGGCAGAAGGCAATGGCATACCTATCATTTACAGCCAGCTGGATGCTTGTCATTAGGCTTGGACTCAATTTTTCTTTTATCATATATTGTGTGTGGAAGAGGGAATGGAGGAGGAGGGGTGGGGAGGGGGACTAGGAGGACAGTGAAATAATCTTAAGTACAGGATTCCCAATACAGCATGTCAGTGTATAAGGTTCATACTATTACAATACTTTAAAAAAAAATCAGAAATGATATTGATGGTCAAATTAATTTATCCAAAGTTGTTTAAGTAAGGTCCAGTACATTCTTTGTGTGGTGTGGTTTGCCCCCTTGGATATTTAGTAAAGGAGAAAGTACTTAAATGTGTGTAGCATCTCCAGGGCTTGAGAATTTATATGTTAATGAAGTCACTTTTACCTGTGTGTAGCTGACAAGGATTAAACAGACCTGGAGGAGTAGGTGACTATGAAGGAATTTTAATAATGGTGAAACTGTTGATTATTTGGACAGGGATATGATGGCTGTTAACAAGTAATATTAAAGACATGTCTAGAGGCTATGTACATAGGACAAAGTGATTCATAAAGTGTAGTACACATTCCATACAGGGGTATGTAAAGGTCAAGGTTGCTAGTGTGTGTAGATGAACTGTGGCAGGAAGTGACCCTCAAGTACTCAACATGTGTGGTGTGGTGTAGGATCAGTTGATAACAGAACAACGTTGTTTCATTTTGTGTGCTACATGGGAAAAGACAGGATCAGGACTGTGAGAATCAATTCAAAGAGGAGTTTTAGAATAAATTAGACTCAGTGTTCAGGTGTTCCATCACTACTGTCCTGATTGCTTCATTATTTGATTCCTAGTGGTCCACCATCTTCTAAAAGGGCTGTGAAAAGTGACGCTCCTCTGTAGACATGTGGGTCCTAACAACATATTGATAGCTCATTTGTGAACTAGATAATGGACTTTCGATAAAGTGTGCACTGGTTATGATTTTGATGGCTTTGTGAGATTTTCATTTGTTTGTTTTTAACTTGGCTCGTGAAATCTGATAGCCAGTGAAATCTGATAGCCAGTGAAATCTGATAGCCAATGTAGCAGAACTTATCTAGTAGAAATATTCATATCAAAGCTGGTGATGATGGAAGTATACGACTATGTAAGGACAACATTTTGGAGTGAGTGGTTTTGGTTTGGTGGATCAGGACATTCCTGGACTGACTTTGTAGATAAAGACGATGGAGTACGTCACCCCCAGTACACTGATTTACTATGGTCCTTGTACCTAGGCTTGGTCATATTCTTTATAAGGAAGATATGTGAGAGGTAAATACAGCTATTTTTGTAAAAATTATATCTTAACAAAGATTATGCAGCCATGAGATCATGCCAATATCTACCAGAACTATTCCGTAACAATCCCATATTTAGCAATCATTTAATTAACATAATTTTCACTGCCCTTCAATAAAATATAAGCACACCCCAGACCTGTGATCACAATTCATAAAAATTTTGTAAAAATGAAATTATTATTTAACTGAAGTTTTTGAATGTTTTTTAATTTAACTTAACTAACAATTTACAAAAAGGAAGAAAGAGAATGCTACTTAAAACAGCAGATGTGTTGTGAAGTGTTGAAATTGGTATTGATCATTGGCATTCCTTGCAAGGTACATTTCTTTCAAACACCTTCCTACACAATATAGAAAAGGCAATTCCTAAATCACACATGTCAGTGAGTCTTGTTTTTATTCTGTTTTTTTCTCAATAAAAAGGATTGATATTTATGAAAAATACACCATATTGGTTTTGGACTTGTGGTATTTTCCCTTGTTGTGATTCGGTCTCTGCTTTCAATCATATTATTTTTGTTATCAACACAAAGGAATCTGACCATGAATGTACTGGTAAAAAGAGGAGAAGATTTATAGGCTCAGCAAGTTGTAGAGCACCTTGTATGGTCTCGTTATATAACTGCAGTGAGATACTAAATAGGGTTGATTATCACACGATGGACAGCTGCTGACTGATAGAAAGATCACTCATCTTGAAACAGCAGTCAAGTTTGGAGGTGTGTTTATTATCAGCCAATGAAATCACTTGTGAAAGTGATTTAGAGCAAACAGTCGTCAATGGTTGAAGTCTTTTGATCATAAATTTAATATTTTGAATAACAAGCTCCTTTGATATTTACATCTGCTGCATATGCTAATGAAGTTACATGTAATTATATCTAAAAGAAATAAAAAGGTGTTATTAAGCTGCGATGGAATCGAAGAATATTAGACACTTTCTTAATAAAACTAGTTTTGAAAACCATATGATTTTAATTGTTTCGTGGCTTCTCTGTTTTGAGTGCTAAAATAATCTGTAAATGTCATGTTTTGTTTAATGTCTTATTTTGTTTACTATCACATTTTTCATACTCAAATGACACGTGATATTAAGCAAACTATGAATTGGGCTATACTTTTCTGCAGTCGCATTTATTTAAACTGTACAAGGAAGTTGAGATTAATTAGGTTTTAGGGATAAGTAAAGTAAGACATCTTGAAGTATGGGATAGATGGTACCATGGAATCTGGGTTGATATCCTCACACTTGAAACAGTTTAGACAGATTTTAGGGATAAAGAGACTGAGAAGGGCCTTGAGATCTATCAGAGGGGAAGAAAGTATATATACATCTTATTAAGGTGCTCAGTGGATGGTTAATGGACATTTAGAAATATGTTAAGGGGATGGGTCAGTGGATGGTTAATGGACATTTAGAAATATGTTAAGGGGATGGGTCAGTGGATGGTTAATGGACATTTAGAAATATGTTAAGGGGATGGGTCAGTGGATGGTTAATGGACATTTAGAAATATGTTAAGGGGATGGGTCAGTGGATGGTTAATGGACATTTAGAAATATGTTAAGGGGATGGGTCAGTGGATGGTTAATGGACATTTAGAAATATGTTAAGGGGATGGGTCAGTGGATGGTTAATGGACATTCAGAAATATGTTAAGGGGATGGGTCAGTGGATGGTTAATGGACATTCAGAAATATGTTAAGGGGATGGGTCAGTGGATGGTTAATGGACATTTAGAAATATGTTAAGGGGATGGGTCAGTGGATGGTTAATGGACATTTAGAAATATGTTAAGGGGATGGGTCAGTGGATGGTTAATGGATGATATATTTAGCAGATTGTTAGTAGGCAGTCAATGGACGGTTAGTTGATGGTTAGTAGATGGTTAATGGACGGTTAGTTGATGGTTAGTAGATGGTTATTGGACAGTTAGTTGATGGTTAGTAGATGGTTATTGGACAGTTAGTTGATGGTTAGTAGATGGTTAATGGACGGTTAGTTGATGGTTAGTAGATGGTTATTGGACAGTTAGTTGATGGTTAGTAGATGCTTAATGGACAGTTAGTCGATGGTTAGTAGATGGTTAATGGACAGTTAATGATGTGTTAAGTGGAGAGTGGGGGAGGATGGGGTGTTGATGGACAACTAGTGGACAGATGGACAGTTAGTGAATGTTGATAATTTTGATAATGGCATCTGTATTGAAGGTGAACATGTTTTTATTTGAACTAGAAATAAAATGAGACTGAAATTAAATGCAGTGCACCCCAAATATGATGATTATTGCAAATTGGAAGTTTTTAAAGGAAATGCATAATATTGACATGTTATAGTGTATATCAAACAACAAAAAACACAAAGAGGTAAAACCTTTGTTGTCTTTGGTCTTTTCCCAGACATCATTGATTTGGTCTGACTACAGGAATTTCCCTCTAGCTGAGGCTGGTGAAGTTGACTGTAGGTATTCTAATTGGCCTGTACGTATACCTGTATCTTAGTTGTCTGTGGTAACTCAAAACATTTCTTTTGACCAAAATTAATAAAACATTGATTAAACAGCTGTGAACCAGAAATAGGAATTGAAATCGTGTATACCATTTTCAAATAACTGAGAGTCCCTGACAAGTTGTAGGATTATATTATTTAGTCAACAATATACTGGAATGACATACTGCAATGATGGATACTGCAAACTAACATATGTAATATACTGTGTGTTAATTACATGTACTTCAGGAGTGATTCCTTCCTTATGGCAGAAACACACTGATTTGTGACAGTTTATCAGTAGATTGATTGTACCAATGTAATGGACATGTTCCTGAAGAGTATAATGGACCCAACACCATGATGTTAAACACTAGTGTATTGATCCATGGACTCTTCTTGATGCTCTTAAACATTCATTGTCCTCATCCCCAAAGAAATATACACCAGTCCATTGATATAAATTTTTCGTGTAGTCCACAAAGAAACCCCATGTTAATTCAGGGAGGATACTTAGTAAAGTTACTGCTTTTTCAGTAGTATTTTACAAGGCTTTGATGTGGCACCATTGGAACACAAGGTTATTGGTTTTTTATAGCTTGTCACAGTTAATGATTCCAACACAGTATAAACCAGTTCCAAAGTAGGACTGTAGCAGATTGATCATTAGTTCAATTCTACTCCAGCTCTGCTTTTTCCATTACACACATCATTTGTGTGATTTTTTATGAAACACTTTTAGCTAATTTACATAAATTAAATAAAACATGACAATTCTGTCTATATCTTATAATTCAAATTGACCAGTTTCACTTTTTTCTTTTTAATGAAATATACTATAGTAGTAACTTTTATATTTCATGTTTGCAGACGGTGTATTCTCTATCAATTTTACTACTTTCAAATAATCATATTTCCTCAATTTGAAAAGGAAAAAAAAATTGGATAGCAGCAGTGTTTTGATGATTCTTGTGTGATACAGATTAGATCCTCAACAAAGTTTCACTATTATAAGCCTGGTGGTGATATGTGTGCCTGGTATGGTGTGGAAATTAATGGGCTGATAATTGATATATGATTTGAAACTCTGCTCTGGGCTGTTCAGGTAGGTAATTACTTAGTGAAGATAAACATCCCTGTACATCCAAGTTGTACTTGTTATTCAAAGTTATGTAAAGTTTCTTATTCAAGATAAGATTTTACTACCCAGTGAGATGACAGACTTCTGATCTATAGAAATATATACTGGTATTGGGCACAGCAACATAACACTGTATTACCCAACAATAAACTCGTAACTAAAAATAAGTCCAATCCTGGCTATTGTTTATCAATGTAAACAAATTCCTCTACATCATTATCTTGTAATAAATATTCATGGTGAATCATTAGAAAAATCTTCAACAAGTTACGAGGGGAGACAACTTTTGAATGAGTCTTTTAAAGGCCACTAAATCGTTTACCTATATTTATGTTGAGTCCATGCAAAATGGTTTGAGGTTGTTTTTGCCCCTCAATTTACATGATCATTGTACTTTTGGCGCTGAATCTGAGTTGACTAACTCCCATTCTAGATTTTCACACCAGCTCCTAGCATAATGAACAAGTTGATGACTAAAATTAGACATGTGGTATATACATTACTGATTTCATATTGAAAAGTACAATGCTGGTTAAGGATATATATCTACTTACATAGAGAACAAATCTCACAAAATTTCATCTGAATCCTGTTTAAAAAAAAAAAAAAATTGTCATTACATGTGAGCTTGTGTCACAACTATATGAATTGACATAATCATATGTTAAGTTATTCATTACTCACAGTTAAAGAGTATTGTGTAACAATTAATGCATACAAGCATAGGATATTGTATTTCTTGTTAATAGTGGTATGGCCAGCACACAGTACTGAGGGATTTCCATCAATTGTACAAATTGTATGTTTCCTATGTTATCTAGCTATATCTGGTAAGCAGATAGTTTTGTACAAACTGTATGTTTCCTATGTTATCTAGCTATATCTGGTAAGCAGATAGTTTTGTACAAACTGTATGTTTCCTATGTTATCTAGCTATATCTGGTAAGCAGATAGTTTTGTACAAACTGTATGTTTCCTATGTTATCTAGCTATATCTGGTAAGCAGATAGTTTTGTACAAACTGTTTGTTTCCTATGTTATCTAGCTATATCTGGTAAGCAGATAGTTTTGTACAAACTGTATGTTTCCTATGTTATCTAGCTATATCTGGTAAGCAGATAGTTTTGTACAAACTGTATGTTTCCTATGTTATCTAGCTATATCTGGTAAGCAGATAGTTTTGTACAAACTGTTTGTTTCCTATGTTATCTAGCTATATCTGGTAAGCAGATAGTTTTGTACAAACTGTATGTTTCCTATGTTATCTAGCTATATCTGGTAAGCAGATAGTTTTGTACAAACTGTATGTTTCCTATGTTATCTAGCTATATCTGGTAAG